CTGGGTAGTAATTTTTTACTTTCTCTTCCTCTCTTTCTCTCTCCAGTGAGTGCATCCACCCTATGAAAAAAAATCCAAAACGAAATAGTTTCAGTAGAATTGGGGTTAACTTCTTTAAAAGTCTTAATAGAATTTAGAAAAGAAGTCATCAGGTCTTAGGCTTTTTCCTTGTTGGAAGACTATTACTGATTCAGTTTCATTGTTATTGGTCTATTCAGGCTTTCTATTTCTTCCTGGTTCAATGTAGGTAAATTATATGTGTCCAGAAATTTGTCCATCTCATCTAGGTTTTCTCGCTTGTTGGTGTATAGTTACTTGTATTCTCTCATGTATTTTGTTATATCTATTGTAACATTACCTGTTTAATTATTGATTTTATCTGGTTCCTTTCTCTGTTTTTCTTGATTAGTCTAGCTAATGGTTTGTCGATTTCATTTATACTCTCAAAAAAAAAAAAAACAGCTTTTGTATCATTGATTTTTTTTTATATAGATGTTTAGTCTCTATTTTATTTCTATCCACATCTTTATTTCTTCTTTGGGGGTAATTGCTGTTTTTGTTTTTTCAGTTCCTTGAGATGGTCGGTTAGGTTACTTATTTACCACCTTCCCATTTTTTTCCTGTGAGCCCTGATTGCTATTAATTTCCCTCTTATGAACTGCTTTCACTGTTTCCCAAAGATTATGTATAGTTGTGTAATCATTATCATTGGTTTCAATAAATACTATTTCAGTATTAATTTCTTCAGTAGCTTTGAAGCTGTTCAGGATTGTTATTTAGTTTCCTTGTTTTTGTGTATTTTTTAAGGTTCCTTCTGTTAAATTTGAGTTTTATTGTACGTGGGCAGAAAAATGCTGAACATAGTTTCTGTACCTTTAAATGTGTAAAGATTTGTTTTTGTGCACTATTATGTGGTCTATCTTTGAACATATTCCATATAAGAGAAAAATGTGTATTTTGTGGTTGTTGGGTTTAATGTTATATATAGGTCTGTCAGGTCCATTTGGTTTATAGTATCATTTAGCTCCTGTGTTTTTCTTTTTCTTTTTTAACATGATCTGTGTTAGAAAACACCAGCAATGTCATGCTGCTAGAACACCATGGCTCAATGGACTATGTGAATGAGTGAATGCTTGCTCAGGGAATGTGTCTCTCCTGCTTGCAAACAATAGAAGGCTGAAACCTGCCTTCCCACTTACAAATAACAGGAAGCCATTAGACCAGTGTGTGATCTGATAAATGTATTTTCCAAATTCAAGGTATTCTGTCCATCTTCTGGCATCATTTAGTCACACCCTCTAATTGATACTGAAATCAATTTGTTCCAGGAAATACCTTTATTTTTCTGATTCTCTAAAAACCAACTTTCAAAAAAAAAAAAAGTAATTTTTCCTCCTCCTCTGGCCTAATAAATATGGAGGATGAGAAAGGCTTAGCAGGTGCATCCCCAGTGTGGCCTCTCCCTTTCCCTCTCAACTCAGATTTCTATGTCGTATTTATTCCATGCACACTTCAGGTGATTCTGCTGGTCAGAGAGTCATAGACCTTTCCAGCGGTGACAGTGGAGTGGGGAAGCCCCAAACAATCAGTGTGTGTCACAGTCTCTCTCTCTTTAGATCTATCACTCTTTCTTTTATGTATTTGGGTGTTCCAGTGTTGAGTGTGTAAATATTTATCATTGTTAAATCTTCTTGATGAAATTATGCTTTTACTACTATATAGTGTCCTTCTTTGTCTCTTTTTAAAGTTTTTGTCTTGAGGTCTATTGTCTGATGTACATCTCACAACTCCAGCCTTTTTGGTCTCCGTTTGCATGGGATGACTTTTTCCAGCCCTATTCTTTCAATTTATGTGTGTCTTTACCAGGGAGGTGTGTTGCATGTAAGCAATATACAGAGGGCTCCTTCATGTTTTTATCTTTTCAGGCAACCTGTGTCTTTTAATTGGAAAACTTAATTTGTTAAGTCAATGTTATCATCAGTATTTGCAAATGTGTCCCTGACATTTTGTTAGTAATTTTCTTAGTTGTTTTATGTTCTCTTATTTCCATTTGTCTTCCTTTCATCTCCTTGATATAGTATTCCCTTAAGCATTTCTTGAAGAGTTGATCTAGCGTTGGTAAATTCTTTTAGCTTGTGTCTAGCTGGGACTGATTTGATTTCTCCTTCCCATCTGAAGGATAATTGTGACAGGTATAGTATTCTTGGCTGATTTATTTTTTCTTTCTGGGTTTTAAGTATGTCTTCCCATTCTTTCCTTGCCTGCCTTGTTTCAGTTGAGAGGGCTGAGGTTAATCCAACAGGGTAACTTTTTAAGTAACTTGGCATTCTTCTCTTGCCGTTTTTAGAATATTATCTCTGTTTGATTTTTACAAATTTGGCTATGATGTACCTTGGAGAGAACCTTCTTATGCTGAATCAATTTGGTGTTCTTTGTATTTCTTGGATCTGAATGTCTATATGTCTCTCTAGAATTGGAAAATTTTCAGATAGTATTTCATGAAAGATATTTTATATGCCTTTACCCTTCTTTTCACCTTCTGGAATACCCTTTCATGTGACTATTCTCCACTTAATGGAGTCCAGAACTTCCCATATGTTGTCCTCATTTGGGGAGGGTGTGTGTGTGTGTGTGTGTGTGTGTGTGTTTTCATTCTTTTTAATGGTTTGTACTAAATTGGAGCTTTTGTCCTTAGGATCAGAGATTCTTTCTTCTGTGTAGTACAATTTTCTGTTAATACTTTGGCGAGAGATTTTGATTTCCTATACTGTATTCTTCATCTCCAAAAGTCTTGTTTGATTCTTTTATAGGGTGTCTATCTCATCATAGGAATCATATCATGGAACGATTTTCTCATCTCCTGGAACTGATCATTTTGTTTTCACTTGTGTCTCACTGAGTTTTGTTATGATGAATATTATGAATCCTTTTCTGGCGTTTCTGTGATTTCTCGTGGTTTATCTGTGGTTCATAAGGAATTGGCATGTTCTCCTTGGGAGAAGGACACTTCCTTGTTTCCTCATATTCCTCGTGTCTCTGTGTTGGTTTTTAGGCATCTGGTGAACTATTCACTTCTCCCTAATCGTTGGAGCCATTTCTGTAGTGCAGGGGAGGAAGCAGCCCTAGGACCCAGGAGTATCCCTGGCAAAGTGGTTCAGGAGAAGCTGGTGGTCAGCCACATGTTGCAGGTCAGAGTGGGGCTCAAGTAGCCTGTATGTGAGACAGTTCAGAGAGGTCCGGAATTGCTGCACTGGGGGAGACAGCAGTTGGAGCAGGTAACCATGCCCCTGGGCTTGAGTCTGATGGAGGGAGAGTGCAGGCCTACTCTGCCTGCCACCCACGCTGTGCCCAAGTGCCTCCGTCTCATTTAGGGTGGGGGTGCTCTCTTTTGCATCTTCTGCTTTCTGCAGGCTGTGGAGACTTGATTGTGAACGGAGCTTGCGGGGTGGTGTAGCTCTCTTGCCAGTCTGGGGCAGGGGTGGGGGCTGCTGGGGTCATGTCCCCCAGAGCCTCAGCGGCCTCAGACAGCTGGCTCCTCTTTACTTTTGCGAGAAGAAACGACAAGTTCCTG